TGAATATAATCGTATTTTATATAATTTGTACTAGAAAACAAACCTAAATTTCGTTGCATGGGTGTATGTATGTTTGTGTTGCTTGGTCCAGGCCTAGCTATGGGCCAATTCAAGGTGTCCAACTAAATGTCTTAGGGCTCATTAGTTCAAAGCAATATGGCGTATTACCGATCACGTGACACTCTACAGCTCAAGTATGACTTCAGTATTCACAGACAGCTCAAACTGGCGAATGCGAAAACATGGACTGCGTCAATTTGGATTTAAATATTTCAATTCAACTTCATATTTATACTGAAAATAGTGCTTCACATAAAACTAGGGAGTTTTTAAATCTGGCTCGTACATAATTTTCCACCAGACTTCAAATTACCAGCATTCACTAAGTAGCACACAAATATGCGAGTCTTCCTAACTACATACGGCAACGCCGCACGGACAGGTCCGGAGCTGCTCTTGGCTGGAAGACCCATTCCTACAACGGTTTCCAGCCCTCGCCCCTCTCTGCACACTCATCGCAACACCACCCCCACGCCAAACTTTTATCATCACAGACACACGACTCCGAAATAACTTCATTCATATTAGACTTGCTGCGTTCTTTTCACACTGTTATGATGATGATGATGATGATGATGCAGTACTGACTACGAAAGTTGTGGTGGTGGTGGTGGTGGTGGTGGTAGCAACAGCAACAACCACCACTGAAAACTAATTACTTTAAGCGAGTCATTGTCCTGCAAAACTGACAAGTGGGGCTTCGAGATTTTGGAGTCGTCGACACGACAAAGAAGTAAATTTAAAAAAAAATCTATTAAAATCAATAAAAAATGTCAGTGATTTGATTAATTTTACTGTCTCGTTCAACCACTACATATTTCGGTCGCATGGACCCATCATCAGGTGGTTTGCAAAACAAAAATAAAAAAAAAATTTAAAGTGGTGCAACTAGCTTGAGGAAATTAGGAAATCTGTATCTGTCATTAAATGAGGGAATTGCACAGACGAAACACGAACACAAAGACCAAACAGTATCAATTACGAAGCAGAATCTTGTCTGGAACATGAAGCCATGTAGTCTGGTAATCGGCAACGGCTCCTTGGAAGTGGAGACAGCAAGGCCCAAACCATCACATCCCATGACACTGTACTCAACTCCCATACACTATACTAGCAATCACACAGCATAGGTGTTCCTTCCTCTTTCATTTTCTTTGGGGGGGAGGATATTTCTTTTACTGCTAGTGGGGTGGGACTAAGTCCCTTGTACTGCGGCCACTTCTGGCCTATTGTACCAGCCCCAGATGATAGGTGAGGGTGATTGTGGAGCAACTGGTAGAATGAAGATTGGCAGGGGAAACCGAAGCATTCGGAGAAAACCTGCCCCAGCGCCACTTCGTCCACCATAAATCCCACTTGACCAGCCCCGGGATAGAACCCGGGCCGCCGCGGTGGGAAGCCAGCGACTAACCAAAATAGCAATAAAGGCCTGCTACTAATTATCTCTGTGCATGGCGTAATACGAGTGCACAGATACCGTAATCATTTATAAAAATTATATAATTATTGCAATATGCAAATTTAAACATACTTAACTTGGCGACTGTGATAATTCTTCAGGATTGCTGTCCTGTGAGATGTGACGCCGGATTCGGAGGAATCTCTGCAGACGCACAGCGTCACATCTCAGAAGACCGCAATCTTGATATTGCCGTGGGAACCTGGAACTTCGCTAGATAAACCCAGTTCTTTACAGTTCCGTTGGGTCTGCGTGTTACAGAAATATCAATCAGTTACAGTGTGACTTTAACTTTCACGTTACTTCGCCTGCCTATGCCGCAGAAAGTAATACAATACTACAGTTTATAGCGACACTTGGAGAAAAGATCAGAGTCCCCCTAAGCCCAGTTAGATAGCTATTTACGGCCATGTTCATAAGACAGAGAGGGAAGATATTTTAACGAGATTTTAAATTTCGCAGAGATCGGCGATCTACGAACAGTATATCCGGTCAGCAAATGTAAAATATTTTGTTTTGACGTCATATGGAGCGACTATGTATCTCTCTCTTAATGTGGGTATGACACTACCCAGGCAGCATATTCAGTATCGTAAGACTTCGCGAAATTTTAATACAGCAAATCAGAGCGATGTACCGTTAGCATGGAGCTTTCTACTGTATTAATGCTTTATTAGACACTTCAGTTAAACAGCATTCACGAGAACGAGAAAAGTGTGAGTGGAGTTCCCAACGAATATTCTAATTAATACTGGAAAATTAAATAACTTTTATACACACTATTCTGAAAAACATTAAGGTCTATGTGAGAGATATGATGATTAGTTTTAACCCTTTGCAACACACGTAACACTTAAAAATTCTGTTCATGCTTCGCACAAAACACCATTACAAAGACAAACTGGTTAATGCTGTTTGGGGAGCTAATCACTATTTACTCTAAGAACCGTATGAAACACACACTCTGTGCTTCTTTAATATAACCATTGTGCTTCATAAGGTTAAGACACGGAGATGTACGTATGTAACCCGGTCCCTTCTATGACAAACAAGAAGCATCTTTTTAATTCTGATGAAGGTGCTTGGTTGTAGTTGCCCAGAATAATTTACGAAACTAACCGTGTCATGCCCAAGACAATGACCTAGTTTTATTTAAAATAATTATATATTCTTTGACGATGGGTCACAAGATAAATTGCCCAACTTGAACGAGGACGTTACTGCATTATAAACCTGCTGGAGATGTTCAAGATACATCATCACTTTCTAGAATGTCACTGATGCATCTATTTCATATTTGTGAAAATATGAAGAAAAGGAATTAGGAGAGCTGAGAAATAAACACAGGTCGCTTATGGCGTAAACGCCGCAGAATGACAATTTACCTCAATTTTCGTAAGCCTTCTTCTGTCAACACGTAAGTTACTGTTTCACAGCACACACTTCTTTAAAATGGATTAAAATACTCTTCCATACGAACACATAATAAGCGATGATAGAGCAAAATCAATAGGTTCCAAATACTTAATTATTCGTGGGCACATTCAAAGCCAACCACAACACTTAACTGGCAACATTCCAACAGCGGCAATTCTCAGTATTTTCATGGCCGAATATACCCAGCACAAACTCTCTCTTCGTAAGGGATAAAAAATGTTACCGACAGATTATTTGTGGTTTATTCAACGATGCTGTCAGCATCTCTGACTAATCAGCGTTGAATCGTGAAATGATTAATAAATGACTAACTGGAAGGGATGTGGCAATTGCCTATTTTAAGATACTATCCCTGCATTCGAAAGATACTGTGAAAAACCATGGAAAAACCCTCAGTCAGAGTTTCCCGGCCGGGATTCGAACCGAGAACCTCCTGAACACAAGTCAAGAAGCACTGCCACCTGAGCCAACTTGCTCGCTAGCGGCAACAGAGCTTCGATTTAATTCCTTTATTTACGCCATCATGAAACTTCTTTCAGGACGTAACAGATTATGAAAACGAGTATATACAGTATTTTCATTAGAGCTGCAAGTGAAATGCAAAACTGTCCCCACTTCTGATTTAAGCATCGCATCATTAAGGTGCATGCTGAGGTACAACTTCACGCTTTCTCGATCTGGGCACTAGACGAATGCCCCGGCCGCATTTACTCCGAGAAAAGAGCCCCCCACCCCGTACACATTTGGATTTTAACCTGGGTGGGCCGGTCTGGCCATGTAGCGAAAACTCTCTGCCCTCACCGGAAATCAAACCCAGATTCTGCGGTAGTCCAAACCCTTGCCTAATCACTATGTCGACTCATTAAAATATCTATGGCATGGCCAAGATTCCATGTCGTACCTTACGTCGACAAGCAAATTATTCGTTTTGCATGTTACACACTCGATGGCGTATGATTTAAAATAAAGGGCAGTTAATTTTGTTCAGAAAAAGGCTGAAAGAACATAGTCCCTTTATCCCCTTGACATGAATCATATCACGTTGACTCGGCGAATGGCACAATGCTTGGGGCATTATTCTTCGGCTGGGAAATGGAAGTGAAATAACAGAGACGCAGCAGAATGAGTAGGAGAGAAACAAGTGTACAGAGAGAGAAAGAGAAGCGTAATGGGAAATGGCTGGAGAAGGGTAAGGGGGGCAGAGAAGGGGGGAACGAGTTCGTGGGAGAGGCGGAGAATGTATAGAAAACTGGTATAGAAAGAGAGCCACTAACAATAACATACTACTTTTACTTAATGTTGGATGTGATTTGTTACAAAAAAAAAAATAGTCTGTTATTCTCGACAATTTCCTAAAGGAAATTTGGCTAAATTTAGATTTGACGTGAATACATTCCGTCTCTCATCTCCCCCCCCCCGGCTCACAATTACCATCAAGAGCGGATAATTAATATTCATATTGCAAAATCCATTTAAAACTATAAGACATGAATACAACGTTTAATCCGATTATAATATATATATTATATACATATCATTAAATAAATTGCAAGGAGCCCAAAGTTTTAACGTTACATTAATAGGTTTCATTTATTGCCTTGCGTAGGCTAAGACCCTATCTAAGCGTATCTCAAGGCCAACGTGTTTTGCTTCAGCGCATTGCTACGTACTATTATGAGCTCCGGGCCCTGGTTATGCAGTAATTGATAAATCAATATAACATTCAAGTCATATTTAACTATTTGTTTCTTTTATCTTAATCCGAGTTCATCAATCATAGCTTCTTGTTATCCGTTTCAAAGGCATTACCAAAACAACAAAATATGTGTCAATATCGAACATATGAATCAATAATCTTCGAAACTCAGTACTACGTTACGAATAAATATAATTCTACACATAAATTACGTTCAACAAGAGAACATATTTAAGTCCACTACTTAATTTCTCGCTTACTCAATAAGTTCCATGCATTCTGGGCAGTAACAAAGTCATATTTTGAGCTCCATTACATAATTGAATTATAATGTCATTAATTACTTACCTCTCCATGGTCGTCGTTCCTCCCTTCAGGTGTGTTTTCTGGCAGAAAATACAGTCGCAAACTTGCCAACACTTGTTCGCTATTTTTGTCCATCCACAGAAGTTGCAATTCTCCAATGCTAATTAAGTCTGAATCACTCCATAATTTGACGAAGAAAAAATCACTCAGAGATAATATTTTATGTCTTCCATTCTTTTTATATTTAAAACCTTTGTAGAATGTATATTGTCCATGGTGTCCACATGGTGCACCAATTAGCTGAAATTAAAGTAATAATAGCCTTATAAATAAAATTCTTGTCACTTGTGCTTAAATTTTGGAACGCACTTTTCTTGCATTCATATTGAGATACAATGGTTCAGGAATTGTCAATAAATATCGTCCATATTATCTACGAAATAATTTAAGAATTATAATATTCGTTGTAATCTGCAGGTATTATATTTATATTGATATGGTATAATTTACATACCTGTATCTTATTAGTATCCATTATAAAATCGAAAGAAATCACCGAGCTCACACACAGCACGCCACAAACACATCAGTCTACTTTGTATTTACTCTAATTATGTGACGTCACCGATACTGTGTTTTCTACCCATGATGCTTTGTGACACAAAAGATTATAATGGCGGATGGTGAAGACACATGTTTGTGATAGAATTAAATCGCTTAAGCACATTGCTATGTACTTTAAATTATTTTTGGAGTACGAACAGTGCCATGTTATTTTATTCACAGAAAAAGTGTTTGTCGCAATATGAATGTGAGAAAATATGTCAGCATGGTGTACTTATAATTTATCCATATGTATAAATGTTAATTTTGCGAAATGTAGTTAAAGGTGTTAAGGACTCCATTTTCAATTATGAAAACAAAAAAATTTAATATGGATAAGAAACTTTCGTCACACACTCATTGCACAACATTCGCAATTAATGTTGGAATAATGTAATGTTTTTACTTGTGTGCATTAGAATAAATGCTTGTGTATATCTTAATATACAGTCGGAAGTAAATATGTTGTAGAGATTGCATAAAATTAAAGCCTTAAATTTGTGAACTCTGCCAATTGCATTTTAGTTGTAATCATGTTTAAAGTAAATATGGTTACCCACCGGCAACGAACATTATTTTCCATGCCAATTTTTGTGATGTTTTTAACCGGTTAATAGCTGTATGACTTTTATATTAGTTCGCGACAGTTTGAAATACACTTACAAATGAAACGGTGCAGTGTTAATTGCTTAAACCTTTATAAGACCATGACGCAGATTCTTACGTGAAAGTGTTTTGATTGTCGTTCAAGAGAATAGGTGGGATGTATATTGTTACCCTAAATAAAGAATCCATTGGTTGTCAGTTTATTTTTATTTTGTCTTTTAGTAGACAGTTAACATTACGGTTCACAGCGCCAACATCCTGTGTATAGTAAACATGTATTTATGGTTTATTTGAATTACTATATAGCTGGAATGAAAAGACAGAGCTTTCTGGACTATATGCTGCATCTCATGAGGAGCTTTTTTAGCCTTACATATTTCTATTCATTAATAAAAATTAAATGTACATATTGGTACTGTATTACTTTTAAACTGGCAAGAAAATGAAGAGTGCAGTTTTCTGGGTTGTAATACCGTGCAGCCCAACAGAAATTCACTGTGTTCATCTACAGGTTGGGAGAGTAAGCCATGTAAGAAAGCAGCAAGGAACAGGTGGCAAACATCTCAGAAGATTCTGCTCTTCATGTTCACCACTCTGAGAACCTCAAACCCCATAACAGGAAAGTGCTTTTTAGGTATAGATGCTCCCAAACAGTTGTTAAAAGTATTGTCTTAGGGGTAACATTCTAATTAATGCATTTATTCTAGCTGAAACTTCACTAGTTTGGTGAAGAAAATACACAGTAAAATCAAAAAAGCCACATCTATAATATTTTTTCCAAAATTGAATTTGTAACGCCATAGGATTTCATCATTTGTGTTGACAAAAAGTAAGACTATGTGCCCAATATTTTATTTAAAACGGTGTTTGCTACTGTCTGATGTATAGAAATATCCAGAATAAGGTCTGTGTTCCCTGCCATGCCACATTCCATCATTTTTTAAACCTGTGTATGTTTTCTGGTTAAATTTGGTTTTCTCTTGTTATATTCAATTACCCTAGAAGCAACCAAACAATATTGTGCACTTTTATCAAAAATGTATTGACACCTTGCTATTGGTATTGCATATTTGTTTAGCTGAAGAAGTATTAACCTGCCTTACCATCAGACTTACATAGAACTCTTCTGGCATGTCACTGTGCAAATCACTGTTGAAAAGGAATGTTGAACATGCTGGGAAATGCATTTCCAGTCCAAGTGGACAAAGAAGCCCATAGCAGCATAAAAACAGCTACTTACATAGCATAAATGCTGATATGCAAGCATGTAAAGCATAAGTAAAACATCGGTTAGGTTATGGATGGGGCACTATGCTCTATGCTCGCGGGTTTTAGTCCCAATGAGTTGGATTTTTTCAGTTTGCTTAATCCTTGCAGCCACATCATGGCCCTGGGGTCGATTCAGCCTCTAACAGAATTGAGTACCATGAATCTTCCTGGGGGGTAAAGGGTGGCTGGCGCGTAAGGCTGACATCACCACCAACTATGAACCGATTGTTTAGAGAAAATGTGGGAACCTCAACAACTCACAACCCTATGGGCCTTTACAGCCTGTTACAGGGGTAGCTTTACCTTTTTAGGTTATAGATACCGCAGACCCATCACCACCTACATAATGCTTCTCATGTCTTAAACCATTTGTTTGAACATTTTTTCTTATAAAAATGGATGTTGTACTTATGAGTGGTAGAAAGTAAATAGCACTTGTGACAAACCTGACTTTCATTAAATAATGAAATGCTGGAATCTAGAAGCTGTCTCCCCTTCTCGGTGCTTCTCTTGTATTGTGTTTGCATGAAACAAGCCACTCTAACAGTGTCACCAGAAACTGTCAGTTCTGGTATGCAATTTCAGCATTCATGTTCTTGTCCCAGTACTCACATTCTTGCAGATGAGTAACAAGATTTTCTCGCTGTTACACACTTCACACAGATATCAGACTGTAGGTGCTGCCTTATTTGTACAGTTGTGTGCACCATGCATCCACACTTCTGTCAGACTGGTCCTCTACTCGGAACAAGAAGTACTTAAATGATCTTGATATGTGGGTGAGTTTTAAGGTGCATCAGTGTCAGTGGCTGTTTGCACTTTCAGTGCAACCCTTCGTGTGATTCTGGTGCAGAGAGCAGTTTGAAGTCTGGTTCTACAGAGATGTTTAACTGGATAGGATCAAGTTGGATTTCAGTGAACTGTGAAACAAATGTCAGAGTAAAGGTTAGTGACGGTGAATAAAGTGGTGGACAGATTTGTTTTGTTTGGGGAATGGAAAAAATTCAGAAGAGAAATGTGTCACAAAAATCTGCAGAAAGAGACAAAGACAACGGTTATTAACACTGTACAGTTCTATGGACTCCTTTCTGGTTAAAGAGTGACACTTCGGCCTGATGATGGAGGCGTGTTTGCCCACAAAACTACATGGCACAGTCCAGAACAAAAATAATAGTTCTGAATTTTATCAGACGACGAGAATATTAGGGAACGTGATCCCAAAACAGTATAAATAAATTTGTAAAGTGTATATTAAACTGATACTAACATACAGTGGTGAAATATGGACCCTTGTAGAGGGAAACAAAAGTAAATGGAAACGGAGGGTGCAGAGGAGAATATTTGAACCCAAGAGGGATGCAACAGTAATATGCTGGAGAAAATGTCACAGTGAGGTGGTCTGCAACTCATTCTCCTCGCCAAATTGTAATTATAATGATAAAAATGATGAGATGGGCAAGGCATGTAACACACATGGGAAAGGAGTATACAGAGTTTTGGTAAAACTGATGGAAATAGACAGATAGGAGGACCTAGATACAGATGGGATGATACTATTATAATGGATCTTGTAGAAATAGGGTTGTGGGGGGGGGGTATGAATTAGATTCCTGTGGTTCAGGAAATTGGTCAGTGGTGGGCTCTTGTGAATACTGTAATGAACCTTTTTATTGTCATAAAATGCTGGTAATTTTTTGAGTGCCTGAGTAACGTGTTAGCATCTAAGGAAGGACCAAGCTCTACAGAGTTAGTTATAACCTTAAAACACATCAGTTTTAATCATTGTACTCATGGAATTTTTCCATTGCCACATATCGTGATATTTTGAGTAGGGTCTTTACACTTTCAGGATCAGCATCCTAAAATCCATCAATGGCATGCTCGGAACTGTGACCCTCTCTCTGGTGTAAGAAAACTGTAAGACACACCCGGGGCTTTACAATTACAGCAACAGGCTCAGTGTGGATGTTAACAGGTGTATGAAATATTTTCAACTTTATTGATTAAATACCAAGTATACACTCTGCATAATGAAAGCTGATAGTTGGAGATTTTTGTTTCAATAAAAGAGTTTGTAGTTGCATATAGCATAAGTAAATTTATTGCCATATGAAATTCTTCATCCTCTGGGGCCCACCCAGCCTCCTATCCAGTGGGTACCAGGGGCATGAGGCTGATCACTCACTTCCACCTAGTGCTGAGGTCAAGAAGGATGGAGCTGTACCTCCATTCCCCCATATATCTTCATGGCATAGTGATTAACTAATTATGCACAGGGACAGCTTCATCTCCAACAAACATTTAATCTATGGGCATAACTGTGGCAACATTTCCTCAGATGGAAGTGAAAGTTTTATGTTTGTCCTGCCATACTATCTCATCCTTCATTTCACTTGAGATGTGTTCAAATGATGAAATGAACATGTAGCAATAATTAAAAAAACATTTTTATCATCTGTTAACTGAGTATTCTGAGGTAAGGTAAGGCAAAGTTGTCCCCTGCACTTAACTAATTAAGCACTATGCCATGAAGGCGAATGGGGGAGTGGATGTATAGATCCATATTTTCTTGACCTTGGAACTACCTGGAAGTGAGAGGTCAGGTTCACGCCCCTGCCACTATGCCCCTGGTTAAAGAACCCCCAGTACCCATTGGATAGGAGGATGGGTGGGTCCCAGAGCCGGTCTGGATGACATGGAGAAGAAAAAATTCTTGACCTAACCAGGACTCGAACTCTGAATCTGCAGTTGTCCAGCTTGTAACCAGTAGCTATACCAACTGTGCTATCCCGGCTCCTCAATAAGGAGTACATATACAAGTAAAATATACAGGAATTTTAAATTACATACAATATTTTGAGACAAAAGCATGAAAGAATTAAATAAAAAAAAAACAGTAAACCTAGGGTTAACCAGGACTTAATGGGGACTGGAGACATATGAGCATGTAAAATGTACTATTTGAAAGTCTTTTGTTTATGTATAGAGTGATTTTTTTTTCTAAGACCATGTTTGCTGCTATTCTCACACTCAGTTTTAGTCTCAAGGTCAAAACATTTGTAATTCATCAACAAATGTATGACCTGTGAAATTTTGCAGTAAACCTTATTTTCTGATGTTTTTAGCAGCAGATACCAACTTAAAAATCATTAAACACCATTGTCCTCCTTAAATGACCCATTTGCAACACAGTAATAAAATAATGTAATCATTTGAACATGTTCCCCCACTCTGAATTTCTTCAATTTGCCTCTATTTAAGGAAAAAATGTTTCTATGGTTTGGAAGTTGTGTACCTCAGAGCTGTTGATATAAGTGTAAACCCATTTACTGCACAGTAAAAAGAAGAAAAAAGTTTAATGCCACAGCTAAAGAAAGTGAAGAAAAGCGAGGCATTATATCTTTTACAACAATTTTGTTCTCACTGATACCACAGAACTGTTCTTTACATCACTTTTCAGTACTGAAATTATGTAAGAAAGTCCTTTTTTGTATGGATGAGGGGTAATTTTAGAACAACGCAGCCCACGCATCTTCCTCTCCAATGGTCACAGATCTTTGCTCAGGGGTAAATGAGCGTGAAGCTGACCTGTTACCTAAGAGGTCTGGAATGCATGGAGCTTTATTCTGATGCTCAATATGTGTCTTCACAGTGTAATGCTTAGATATAGGGGCTGCTTTACATTTACCTTACAAATGCATAGAGAAAATAAAATATGGAACAGGTTTTTGAATTGAGGATCTCACCATGGTGACTATGGGGAGTACAGTCTTCTGGAAAGTAACGATATGTAGTCCGGTAGAAGTTCACTGACATTTTGGAGGAATATATGCCCCCAATTTCATGGTCCATGAGTAAGCCAATTATGTGACAAGCAAAACAAAGCAGAGAAGAAAGAAAGAATAACATAAAATTCTGCTTGTACACAGTTTATAAAATTGTTCATCTGTCAGTGGACATCTGTGAAGAACCCAGCGTTTCTTTGAGTTTTGGCTATATTATTTTATGGCATCAATAAAATTTAAACCACTGAATTTTATAATGAACATTAATAATGAAATTGTGTCATTCATAAAGGAACTTTCGAGCTGATATTCATCCTTTTGAGAAACACCATAGTGAGTTGTCAAGCCATCTTGCATACAGAATTTGCTCACTGATGATTGTTTTTATACTTGACAAATGCAACCAGGTTTATACATTTTCAATAACATATAGTTTAAGAATCAAAGAGGCTTGGGTTAAGTCCCTGATAAGCAATCTGTTCGTCTATCCAGTCCCGAAACAGGGCTACATTGGTGTAAACTCCAGGTACGTTATTTTCACCACAACCAATGCCCCAGGCAACAATTCCTGCTTGCTGATAATGAGAAGGATCATTTGCAAATGGACACACCAGAGGACCACCTCCGTCACCCTGGAAAATAATTAATTTAATTTTAGTCCATGTTTTAATAAGAATGAACTACAAAACAATAAGCACTGTAAGTCAGTGATCTCAAAGCATACCTGTAACTTACTGACAGAAGACAAGAATTGTACTGTGAGATTTTCAGTTCTCATGGTGGTGACTATGAAGGGTACTATCATCTGGAATGTGGTGTAATGTAGCCTGGTAGATTGTTTTGAAAGAATATACTGCCTCCATCATCAGGGCCAAAGAGTAACCCAAGCAAACACCTCCTTTGCTTATTTGCTAGCTTGCTTGCTTGCTTGGCTCACTCTTCATACCCTAAAATGAAGAGAGTATATTCCTGCAAAACAGCAGAATACTTCTACCAGACCACACCATCATCCAAGATGATAGTTCTTTTCAAGAATGTTCCCAATTTTCTGTGATTACAGAATATTCTGTCGATGAACAGGGACATATTACTGCCAGGAACAGACTATTTTGTGGCAGCACAGTATTTATATTGAAAAATGCAACACTGTGCCAGCTGTACCAAGAAATGTGTTGTTATGATAGTACAATGCACTGCCAGTAAAGATTAAATTACTGGTACATGTAATAAGAAATAATGAAAGGTATATGATGAGTGTTACAAGCAATATGGATATACCTTGCATGTATCTTTCCCTTGTTCTCCGCCAGCACAAATAAAACTTTCATGAAGCTTGAAGTAAGGGCCCAGCCTTGTTTTGTGCAATGCTTCTACACATGCAGCCCTAGGAACTACTGGCAACTGAACTTTCTTCAAAATCACCCAATAGCGGCCTTCCTTGCCTGAAATAAAAATAATTAGGGTCTCTCAAATTTCAAAATGGAAACTAGTTACCCCTGGGACAGAGAAGAAAATAACCGAACGTTACTGATGTACCTGTGCTTTTCAAATTACTTAGCTCTTACAGATCTTGAACATGCAGTTTAGTGGGCTAGGTCATTATTTTTTATGTCATATGACAGTGGTTGTGTATTTTAATACTATACTGTAGACGTAGGTTTCATTGAATGTTAGTGCCCTTCTTATTCACTTATGTCAATAGAATGTACCGTAAGTTTTGCAGGAATAAAAACATATTACATTTTTGTAGTTCAGGGAATGAGTAACTCATGAAAACATCTCAGTTACTCAACATGATGTAACAAAGTTAGTTCCAGACAGATCTACTTGTATAATCAGTAGTGTTAACACAGTTTTAAATTTAATTTCCCCCCCCCTATTATAGCACAGATTAGGGAAGAAAGAAACTTACAAAAGAGAGCAATCTGCCCTTTCGTACCTTTTTAAGAACTCAATTGTGAAGAGGAAATACACAAAACATTCATACCAAAATATCTTGAACATAGTTTGTGGTGCCATTTATGCCTAAAAATAGAGACCCATAAGTACAGAGCAATTCATAAAAATATTCTTAAACAACTTAAACGTAAGACTAATGAAATTTTCCAGCTGGGAGAATCCTAGTGTTGACTGTATCCCCTTGGAAAATCCTGGTAGTGCGCATGTTGATAGAAGCTTTTTTGAAGAGGTGAGAATGTAACCCTTTCCTTGGCACTAGCATACATAGATACACTTTTCATGGTAAATTATGTTTGGTTTGGTTTGGTTTGGTTAGATTAAGAAATATTAAGCTATATTGGGACAGGTTACAGATGTACATACATGTCTGGTATTTCTTTATTCTAAATCAGCTAATCATGACCATCATTGTCATCATCACTGGCAAAACAGCCTTTTTAAGCCATAGCCTTCCTTAGAAAATTCTGCCAGATTTATCTTGAATTAGAATACCTGACTTTCATTTCTTTCGATTTTGCAGCAATAATCCTTATACCCACCAAGGTGATTAGCCTTGTGTCCAACTCCAAACCTGGAAGGCATGGTCTTTGTATTTTCATTGCCTTCTATGACTCGCAGGGCTACAATGGAGGTAAAAGTAAAGCTATCCTGTAACAGGGGGCACGCGGTAGTGTAGTTGGTTGAGGCACTATGTTACAAGCCATAAGGTCACAGGATCAAATCCCGATGAGGTGGATTTTTCAATTTACCTAATCCTTCCAGCTGCACTTTGGCCCTGGGGTTGACTCAGCCTCTAATAGAAATGAGTACCAGGAATATTCCTGTGGGTAAAGGGCAGATGGCGCTTAAGGCTGACAGCCTCACCACTATCTGTGGGCGAATTTTCTAGAAAATGTGGGAGCCTTGACCTCTCACAACCCTATGGGCCTCCATGGCCTATTACAGGGATACCTTTACCTCTTTTTATCCCATAAAGGCCCATAGAGTTGTAAAATGTCAAGGCTCCCACATTTTCTAGATCATTGGCTTACAGATGATGGTGAGGTTATCAGCCTTACACACCAGCTGCCCTTTACACCCAGGAAGATTTCCAGTACTCATTTCTGTTAGAAACTGAGTCGACCCCATGGCAATAGTGAGGCTGGAAGAATTAGGTTAACTTAAAAAATTCAATGACCTCACCAGAACTGAACCTGCTATCTTCCAGCTTGTAGCATAGTGCATCAATCAACTACACTATGTACTTTGATAAAAGGGAAGAATTAAATTAATGAACAAATCAAATGAAAATTTCTGCAGGCAATCATTGTTGTTGTGTTTTACAATGAATTGTTATATCTAGAACTGCAAGAAGAGTATCAAAAATTAAAATACACAAAACAATTTCACTGATACACTGTCTTACATATAACACTTCCTTATAAAATTTATTCAGTAGTTCTTACATACATACAATGCATCTTTTGAACCTCATTTAAAAGCTTCTGTACATTGCACTACATATTTCAATTGGCATTGTTCATCATCAGGTGTTTAAAATTGTTGTTATGCAATTCTGATATTCGATATGTACTCTCATGCACTTCATGGTGCTGAGTGTCTCATCCTGTTGTGTTGTGGTTCCAGACTACACTTGTAGTTGTATAGGATTCTGGTGGGAAAAACCAAAAGGAAAGAGACCATGATGGGAGGATAATATTACAATGGAAAGAGGATGGAGTTAATATCAACTGGAGTCATCTGGCTCAGGATAAGGAGCAGTCTTGAGGGTAATGAAACTGCTGAACTCCTGGCAAGATTGGATCTGAATGTTCATTTATAGCATCCAAACCAGCAGGCAGCATCTCAGCAGACGCTGCCAAGAAGGCTGTCAGTGATTGGACAGAGACCACGAAAAATACTGGAAGTTCTTAACAAGACTCAAACATGCAAAGCATGTTCTACAATATCCCTCTACCAGATGAATTATAGAACTATTGAAACTGAATATAAATCAATTACAAGGACTATTTTCATGATGCTGTCACCTGAATTTCATTTGAAGCATAGGATTGCTAAGTAATGGTGGCAGTATCAGTTAGTCGTTCCCACCAGCAGTGCAATAACTGCCACAAAAAGTAACAGGAAAACGCTCTCATTTCTGTGTGCCATTTCATGATCTTTATTCCTCTTGGACTGCCTGTATAGTTATTGCACCCCGCCTCCCCCCCTTCCAACTGACTGTGTTGAAAAACGTAAGCTAAGCTATTAAAAACTGCCCAACTGGGTTCATTCTGGGAATGACATAAACTATACCTCTTGAAGTTTATTTTACAGTTCCCAGGTTAACAGCTTTGGCTGGCCTTATCAGAATGACAGACAAATGATCTGATTCTTCGTTTACTGCAGGCCTCTAACTGTAGAACAGACCTAACCTTCCAATATTTCCGATTTCTGCATTCCCAAAAAAAGAACATTCATATCTTAGTTGTACAAATTGCAATCAGTGCTTGGAATGCATATACGAGGGGGTACCCAAAAGAAACCGAACTTATTTTTTTTTAAACTTATTTCTTCAAATTTTAAGCACAAACCTTCAATCCCCTTCAAAGTACTCTCCACTTACACTAATACACTTGTCTGGTCTTTTATTCCATTTTTCAAAACATTGTCTAAATTCATCTTCTGAGATGCTTGACAGCGCATCCGTCATTTTTTCCTTTCATGTCTCTTTTCATTCGAGGAAACAAAAAAAAAAGTCGCATGGGGCAAGGTCGGGTGAGTATGGAGGATGAGAAACAGGGGTCATACCATTTTTGGTCAAGAATTGTCGTACAGACAGGGCTGTGTGAGCAGGGGCATTGTCATGATGGAAAAACCAGTCACCTGACTGCCACAAATCTGGCTGCTGAGCTCCAAGCCACTCCCGACAGCTCCGCAATTTCTTCAACCGTCGTCGATCTTCCTTGATGATTTCACGAATTTTTTCAACATTTTCATGTGTTCGGGCCGTGGAAGGACGACCAGAACGAGGTTTGTCATCAATTGACATTTCACCATTTTTGAAACGGGAAAACCACTCAAACCCCATAGCATCCTCCTTGTATGCCGTTTTTAACATTTCAAGAGTTTCTGTTCCACTTTTCCCGAGCAAAAAGCAGAATTTCACCGCCACACGCTGTTCACGAAAATCAGCCATTGCAAAAACGATGATCACACAAAACAGTTGTCACTATAAACTCTGCCGAAACTAGTCCTTATCTTCTGAAGCAATGGTAGTCGGCTTATCAACTCAGGAATGTTAGCTCTATGTGCTCATAGCGGCAAAACGCGGTACTACAAAAGCTCTGCCCACAAAAAAATTAGTTCGGTTTCTTTTGGGTACCCCATCGTACATTAGGGGTTAATATGAATGCTGAGTCCTGTTATATGTGTCAAGTGATGATATGTATCATTCAGTGGCCTTCATTGTAGATTAATTACACTCTTTTAGTTTTCCAGTTATGGAATAAGTAAAATAAACTTGTTCACCCATATTAGAGTGCTTGTTTAACCACAGGAGCAAAATAAAAGTAAAAATATGGAAAGTTAAGCTACATACCATAAGAATCCTTGCCCCAGCCAGTTGCAAAGCACTGACTGTGATCAAAGATTGCTCCCTGAGGTGGTAGACACACAACATCAACATTCTCTGCATACTCTACAGCACTGTCAAGAAAGATGAGGCCAATGTCATTGTACAGTGCCCCTGCGTAGTAATCAGGATGTATCACAATGGTCCTCACATTCCTGTCTTGATGGGGAAACAGTTCATTCTTGGTCTGTGTGTCCCATTCTCCTGCACGAACCTTAAGTGTACTGAAGTCTTTCAGTCTGAAAATTAAATAAAAAATTATTTTAAAATGATCATTATTAGGGAAGTCAAATACAAGAGCTTTAGACATACTGGTCATGTATCGTGGTTGAGGGAAACAAAACAAGAAGCCTACAACATTTTGGTGGTGAAGCATCTTGGAAAAGAAACGTTTGAAGACTGAGAAAGAGAAAAGAGGATAATATTAGATTGAATGAGACAGAAGTAGATGATCATGGTGTGAATTGATCTGGCTGGGTGAGGATCATGTTGAATGGCAGGTTGTGATTGAAGCATGAGCACTGCTGAACTTCACCATGAACTCCAAGGTTTGGGAATCAGTTTTATTTACTCCTACTGATAGGTTTCGTTCCATATCTGTTTTGAGTGTTCAGTAATTCTTCATCCTTTTGGTATTTAATTTCCTGTTCTTTCCAAATGGCATGTTCAGTTATTTCCATGATTCTTAATTTTATTTTAATTAAATGTTTAATTTCTTTTCAATTCTTATCTTTCAATATACTATATCCAGGAGCAACAGAAAGACGTGACTTGACATTTGTGGTCAAAATGACACGTTTAGAGAATTGAAACCCAGACAATCTGCCATGCAAGCTTGGCAACAGAAGGATTACACCAACCCTGTACAGCATTCATATTCCAGCCTGAAAATAAATCACTGGCAATCCTCCAAAGAATAGTGAATGCTCTGTTAAATTCATGAATACTGGTGAACTCCGGGATCTATTGTCAGAATATGGTTAATTATTCGGTTGTATTGCATCTATTTATTTATGATTTGCTTAAACATATTATCAGTAGATTAGGCTATAGCAATGACCAATGGAATTGCTGCTGAGAACATATTTCAGTTGAAAGAACGATTTCTGCAGCATTTGCTAAGGACTAAAGTGAATGAAGAGCTGCACTGCACTTTACTAACACAAAAAGACTACAACAAACTTTTACAGGAGATTAAATTAGCTAAAGTTGCTGATGACAAAACAACACTGCACTGCAACACAGAAGGACAAAGTGTAACTGAAGCTGATAGTGCAGAAAATTATTGTGAAAACAACTAACAATAAAGATCTGTAATGTGATACTTATGAAACACTTCACTGGAGAAATGTGCTGCATTTATTAGTACATTCCTTCAAAACGTTGGTAAGTAATTCCCAAACTGCATGGCATCACATCCCAGAAGACCACAATCTGAGGGGAGATATGTATGTTAATGAAACAACTCATTTCACAGTTTGTCAAAGCAGTTGCAACAGACTTAAAAAAGAAGCAGGTATGAGGGTAAGTCAAAAAGTATCTAGAAAATGTTCATATTGTAATGTATGTCATGTTTTGAAGCAGTTACTTTCAGTTTGCCACAGCCTTGATATCAGTTTCATTAGTTCACTGCTATTTCACTGATTGCCACTGCTCTACTCTCGCCTTGCATTCCCTAAATTGCAGCTGATAACATGCACTGTTTCACCACAGAATTTTAAACTCTGCTACTAAGTTCATGGTCACGCTCGACTTAACGCCCTCTTCCCTCAGACTGCCTTGCTCAACTTCCATATGCCAGTGATGCCATTCTTGAGCCTTCTCACAGGATCCTGGTCAACCCTGGTCTTCAGCAGCATCTTAAACCATCTTGGGAGGGGGTGGGTGTTTTTAAAAAAAATAATGCACACAAATGCTCTCACATCTACTCACTCACATGAATATCCTTTTTAGTTTTAATTTTGTGCATCCTGTTGTATTATATAAAATTCCTTATTGGAGTCCATCACAACACAACAATATAAAGGTCAAGATCAACATTACCTAACTACATGTTTCGGCTCTTAAAGCCATCGTCAGGCAAACACATGATTACTATATTCACACACTATTGAACTGCAATTTCATTGTGACAGTAAAGCTGGAGTCATGATAACTGTTACATTATAAAATATAAGGTATAAAAATACAACAAATTATAAAATTATTATAAAACGAATGTTATGGAATAAAATATGGTTAAGAACTCTTCATGTGATGTTGCATATTATGAAGTCAGTTGTTGCAATCTTGTTCTTATATTCCGGCGGACATATAGTGGTATATTCATGACTTGTATACATATACATGTAGAAACCGCTTGGAGACCCATGGTATAGATGTAGTAGTCTGTGTTCCCAAAAGAGCGGACAAAATACATTGTAAAATGAGGCACAGGCCAAACAATTAATGCCAAATAATACTACACCTATACCACGGGCCTCCAAGCAGTTTACTATAATTCTAATTTGTTTACTTTTCGTATGGTATAAGAAGAAAATATGTTTCCAAAAATCTGCAGAGAAGTTGCTTAGATTGCAAGAAGTTCACTGTGGGCCTTGCATCACAGGTCCCAGCTATAGCTCACTTTTTCCCATTTTCTCATGGCACTCGCAAATGTCATACCTTGTCCTCACAGTTCTGTCCTGCTGTTGCTTGGGCTGGCCAACTGTCCTTTCACTCAGTCTTTATAGATGGTATGTATTCTTGTCTCCCCCATTTGTCTGAACTTCCACTGTTCCCCTTCCCACTACAGGTACATGATGACACTGACAGGAAGGCATATGCTAATCATCAGACATCAGACATTTCTAACCTCAGATCATAATTCATTTATTCATAGTGTTTACTGAGTGCATGTAAACACATATGAGGCAGGTAGCATGTCTAGTTATAAGTGTAGTTCACACCAAATAACCATTTCAGATGAGGATTTTCTACATTGTTGATGAAACAAATAACTCCACAGCATCATTTATCAGAACTGTACTCTTGTTCCTACATTATTAACACATTCAAACAACAATATGCTCTGTCTGATGTGCCTTAACATATTACTATTGCAATGAAGAGAGGCATCATATGTATTGTGCAAAGAGGGCCACACCAATCTGTAAGCCAACAAGAACCACACATGATCTAACCTGTTGATGATGTTTTTCAGATGCACTCTGTAAATATTCCAGATAGACTACAGACATTCACCTTGAATGGGATTTGACTCATTAAGATACTCACGTAGCCAAACAGTGGGCTGCTGTGAGGACCACCTGTGGATGTATCAGAGCTCCGCCACACTGGTAAACAATCAGCTTCTCTGGGTTGTTATCCACTGATTCTTCCCTCACAATGGCAACCATCCAAGGAAATTCTCCAAACTGGGCCTCACTGTCATTGGCACCAGTGATACGAAAGCCAACACCCTCTTCATTACGGCGCCCACATCCAGACCTCTGTTTTGGTTTGGGGGTTATGGGTTCAGTCACTGTTTGGGGCTTCTGACAGCATACATCAAGGTAGTTCTGACAGGGCCCATCCTTGATCCTGTTAGAAAATACAGAATGAAAAATTTTGCTTAGTTTCTTTGTCTGATAACTGTCAAATAGGGAAAATTATACTTGTGAAGAAGGAACTAAATGGTGGTGGTTTATAAGGGTTCCGTGGTAGTGATTATTCAGATTGTGGTCTTCTGGGTCATGACACCATATAGTCTTGTAGGTGATTACCAACATTTAGGAGGAACCTACTGCCTCCATCTTAATGGTTGAAGTGTGTAGCATGAGGAACTGATGGGATTATACAGACAATCTGCAAAGAAGGCAGACACTCAGGCCTACTGGAGAGGTAGAGCAGGTGAAGCCTAGGCCAGGCCAATATCAACAGCGAACAGCAACCTCAGTGACCACCTTCCTTGAAACCCAGTTATACGTATAACCTGTCTTTCTCACCCCACACAGTTTGACCATGAAGATGGGATTATTGATATCCATCTACAAGACTTCACAGTACAACAGTCCAGAAGACCATTATCTGCATAATGGGTTATCGAGCAAAGGAATCTCCAAACCGTTGCAGACTTCTGGTGCAAGACCTAAGATGAGAAATACATATCTAAATCTGGACATTAAGACTGTATGACTCCTAGATGTAATATCTGAACACAAATCAAGGAAATAAGACAATATGTACTCAACCACAATGTAGAACTGAACATAAAGACATTAATGGATTTTACATTGGGAGATGTTCCAAAACACAATGAATTCTAGAAATGACTGTAATTTCATTAGATGTGCAAATGCTGGGTGAAAATTAAAAAAGTGATCAAAATACTGTCGCTGTGGAATAGGCATACTGGATGGGAAATCTGTATACTTCTCTTTATCATCATGCTGAGAATAAGAGACAGGATAACTTCTGCACAGCATCCAGACTAGCTCTGGGGTCCACCTAGACTCCTATGCAATGGGTACCAATATCACAAGAAGCCTTGGACCTGGATGGCTTCCTTGGATAAAAACCTAAGTGAAAGGAAATGGATAAGAGATCTGGCACTTGGAATGTTAGAAGTATGCATATGGCAGGTTCGATCAGGGCAGTGGCAGAAAAAATCTCAAAATATAAGTTAGATTTAGTGGGAGTACAGGAGGTCAGATGGGTCGGAGTTGGCACTGAAACACGCAGGCAAATATACATTTTTCTACAGAAAGGATAATGATAATCATGAACTGGGTACAAAAGAGAATCATATCAGCAGTTAGGAGGGTAAAGTTTGTTAGTGATAGGATGTCATACATAATACTTTCCTAATGGAAAGACACACAACAAAATTGACCATTTTTTGATAGACAGGAGACGGCATTCAAATGTACTTGATATCTGATCATTCAGGGCAGCAGACTGTGATACTGACCATTATCTTGTGGTGGCAAAAGTTAGAGAGATTAGCAGTGAGTAAGCAAACAATGCACAAAATTAATATTGAGAGGTTCAATCTCAAGAAATTAAATGAGGTAGAGGGTAAAGAGCAGTATTGTGTTGAACTCTCAAATAGGTTTGCAGCTTTGGAAAACTTAGGCACTGAGGTGGATATTTAGAAAGCTTGGGAAACTATTCGAGAGAATATCAAAATACTGCCAAAGAGAGTCTAGGCAATTATGAATTGAGAAGCATAAGCCATGGTTCGATGAAAGATGCTCAAAATTATTAGGCCAAAGGAAACAAGCCAAATTGCAGTGGTTACATGATCCAAGCGAAATAAATGGGGATAATCTGAACAATATAAGACATGACACCAATGGGCATTTCAGGAATAAAAAGAGGGAACTGATGAGCTTGCGACAAACAGTAAGAACAAGAGCACTGGAGACCTGTATAGAGGAACAAATGTCTTTAAGAGGGGTTACCAATCTAGCAGCAACTTAGTGAAAGATGAGAATTGTAACCTGCTTGCAGATTCCAATATTTTGAATAGGTAGAAGAACTACTTTTCTTAGTTACTGAATGCACATAGGGTCAGTGATGTCGGGCAGGTAGAAGTACATACAGCTTATCTGATGATGAAACTTACACAAAATTAAGTGAATTGGTACACTGTTATGATGTAGAAAAACAATATGCTTCCCTTCAAATGAACTTTCTTTCCAGCATAGAAAGTGCATTTTAGTAGCAATACACATCACTATGTCTAAAAAAGAATCAACTGTGAAGTCACAAGAGGGGTCATGAAAACTTCCACGTTTCTTTTGCCATAAACAGGTGACATCTACATTATATAAACTGAAGATATTGTAGCATTTCTTCCAAAACCAGTAAGGAGTAGAAGAGGTGGCATGATATTTCCTGTTTCACTTTCATGACTCCATATCTTTTATGATGTATTTCATACATACATATATGATTTATTCTTTTACTCATATATATATGTTTTACAACTGATAGAACCTTAGATGATCCTCAAAGATGTGTTTAATTCATTAAAATGACAATTTCTTTCTTTGTGGGTTGAAAAGAGAGTTTAAAACACTTTAAATCAGTTTTATTTAAACTGTTTCATTTGTGCCATGGAAAATCTTTTTGCCTGTTTAATCTACTGAGTGACCGAAGGTACAATGCCTAGTGGCCCTAGGTACAAAGTACTTCTGTACTTCAGACCATATGACTTAATCCTTAAAAACTGAATTTAAACATTCTTTTCATATTTCCAAAATTATGAGGAAAAAAAAAACAGTAAGAAAGGGAACAGATCATAGTTTGGTCTCTTTAAAGCAACTAGTGGTTCAATAAATAGAGATATAGTTTTATAGTTAACCAAAGACTCCTGCCTGAGGTATGAGGGTCACCTCTACATAGGGAAAAATAGTGGTAATGGCAAAATAATAGACGTAGCAAAATTTATGAAATGTCTCAGCATTTACGTTGTATCTGACAGCCAATTCAAGTTGTGATTGAAAGAAATATACCCCTGTTGTCTTACTATGAACTAAACAATGACCATTATGATGCTCTGTTACCAGCTGAAGTAAAATAGGTTTACTTTTTCTGCGAAGTTTGTTTTAAGACACAAACTTTGCCATAAACATTTCCACGAGGCAGCAACATAGCTTACTGCATATTGTTATGCTATGAAGTTTAGCAAATTATTATAAATATAGTTGTTTTTTCAGAATTTCGTAAGTTACTGGGGTTTGGAATTTCTGATTAAGCTTGTTTTTAAAAATTTCCTGTTGAAATTTTAATGTTTATGTTACTATGATATAATGGTTTACTTGATACAGTTTTTAAGTTTTAACTTGTAATTGTTGCTCTTGATGTGGCAAAGGAACAGCAGTTACAATCAAAATTGCATTCATGAATTCAAATGCAGATTAAATTTGAGAAATGCCTGTTGCCATCCAGTTCAGAATCTTTTACCCTTCCATCTTTCATCTTAAAGCCTAAATTTTAAGATATAGGGGGAAAATACAGATTGAAAGTGTTTGAAAACAGAGTGCAAGAGAAGTATATGAATCTATATGGGAGAGAAAAGCACAAGAGGCTGAAAATGGTCATTAATGACAAACTGTGTAATTTTTAACCTTCACCAAATATTCTTGGGGTCATTAAATCAAGTAGATGAGATAGGAAAAACATGTAGCATGGAATAAGGAGATGAGAATTGCATACAAAATTCTAATTGGAAAACCTGAAAGAAAGGGATCACTGAGAAAATCAGGTACAGATAGTAAGGGGCCTTGAAAGAATTAAAGTATTGTGTGAAGAACTTAAAAATATCAAAACAAATGGGAATAAAATATGGACAGAAGAGAAAATACATGTTACCAATATGCTGCTGTGGCAGTGGATAAGTTGGTGTGTTCATTTCTCTGAAATCCTGAAAAGGACATTTTGACTTAAGATTTTGTGATCTCTATTTTGACTAGTTATCAATTCAGAATTTTAGGAAATTTTAAGTTTTTTGTGTACAGTGATATGTACTTCGAAATACTACAAGAAATGAAGATTCATTCAATAGTACTTCATGGTCATTATAGCTACCAGGTGAAGGTAGAGTAGATTTGTTTATTATATGATTTTTAATTTTTATACCTTGAATAGAGGTCGTGAATGGTTTACTTACAGCTCATTTCCTTTTATCCTGTAAAGGAATGTGTTAATTAATAGTTTTCAAATTTTAAGGTTCTTGCTATGAAATGACTGATTGTATATACTGAATTTTTATTATATATTCTAATTTTTAAATTCTGATGAAATTTGGACTGTTAAATTAAGTATTTGTAGATATGTGATCGAGATAATTGAATCAAACATCTATATTATGAATAGGTCTTTTGTATTAATTTATGATTTTGACAACGATAATCATATATCTGCATAAATTTGATCATATTTGAATATTTTATGTACAAATTTTGTACTGTGACTGTATTGCATGTTGATGCGTCCATTGATTTTATGTATGTGTTTATGTATTTTGACATGTTCTATATCCTATGGCATGTGTGACCTGAAAGGATCTATCGAATTTAAAACAAAGTGAAAGTGAAAGTGAAAGATGGAGCTTTATATAAAACTGCATTCCAAATACTGACTGCAGTAAGGAGAATCTAACAATATTTATTTTCTGACAGACAAATATTTTTTCTTGATAAATTTACTCAGAAGGTGGAAGAATGGGAGAAGCGGGAAAGGTGAAAAATTCTACATGTGATACTTGTGTCTAATGAAAAGCAGACTATGCTTCTCCCCCTTACCTCATGCAGACTAGGCACATGCAGTGGCTGACAGGCGTGCAGGCAGGACTCACCCAGACTCACCCTGGGGTATTAGAAGCTGGGCAAGGACACGGCTGTTTAGAAGGTAAAAAGCCCGACCTGATGTCGATGAGTCCAGCTCCATCTGTAATGATCGTGTTGTTCTGACAGAGGTAGTAGGGCACACATTGGCATTCCAGTGGGTTGTACTCTTGTCCCTCAGCCTGGGTTTTTTCCTCTGTTGGCTGCTGATTGTTCGAATTTCCTCCTGTCTCTGGTCGGACAAACACCTGACCAATGAGAGTGTCCAGATCTGCTTGAGCTCTTACATTGTTAAGTGGTACTAGCAGTGATGCAACTACTGTCATTAACAGAAGTCTATTTGTTGACTCCATTTCAGCAAACTGAAACAAATTAATAAGACAATATGAGTATTATATCTGATATCAATTTCAGAAGTGGGAAAGTTATCGTTGTTGATAAAACAGAATGAAGAAGTTTTAATTTGATATATACGGTAAGAGAAATTATATGCAGTCATTTAATACTAAGATCTTAAATCTTTTTGTGTGATGATTCAACTTTTAAAAAAACCATCAAACTGAACATACTCTTGTCCTGAGTAACATCTTTACCATATAACCGAAGTTTTAAATAAATTATTATTTTTATGAGATTCAAAATTCATTCAAATGTGCATAATGGCGAGTGGCTAGCCTGTGAGCATGCATCAGTGATGGGAGAAGACGGCCAGTAGTGTGGCTACTGCTCTCATCTTAGTTCAGATCGTTCGCTGGAATACTCTTATTTAAGATCTCTGGAAAGAGCCTCTCAAGTTAAAGTCTGTTTTGTGTACCTGCCTTTATTTATGATGGAAGAAGTGTTTTTGCTACTCTGTGGACCAGAAATCTTTCCACTAGAAAGCATCACAGCTTATGACAGTCAATGAAAAAAAAACGGAAAATTATAGTATATGATGATTTGTGAACTTTTCCAAGAAAACACTTTTCTGCAACTGGGGTGTGCTATTCTGAGACACTGATAACTATGAAAATACAGAAATGAATATGTTTTTGGCCTGGTTTGAATCCAGTAAAACTTGGATGAGAATAATGGAAATCCTTTTTAGTGCAAAAGAGTTCACTCCTGCAATGAAGCAGTGGTAACCAACATTGTAATTTTCTTCAGGAAAAATCTTCTTTTGAGTCAACCTGGCAATCCTGGTTATCAAAGCGAATACTGAAATTGGTCATGACCGTCCTCTTCTAAGTCCTTACATCTCAGAATTCATGACTAACCTCTCGCCTCTTTTGATGCTGCATAGCTTCTGCAGCTGACGCAGGTAATATTTGCATCAAAGTCAAAGTTTTAAGATCTGCCTGGGCTTAAATAAGCACGACATATTTTAACTGTATGGAAGAGCACAGGTGCAGTTCAATGCATCCTTGACCTTGGCAGTGGACGGAGGTAAGTGGTTAACTTCATGTCCCAGTCGCTTTACTCCTCAAGAAAGAATCCCTGGTACTTAGTGGATAGGAGGACGGAAGAGGCCCTCAGCCGGTGTGAACACAGTGAAGATGCGAATACCTTCCCCTCTGCTGAGGTTCAAGTTCAGTCACACACCCAGTACCGTATTCACTCTATGCACTGAGTTTGCCGGTTCGCATTCCACGTTATATCTCGCTGAATGGCTTTCTAAGTGGCATATCGAACCACCCAACCAATAAAATACCTATTTAGCAATGGTCATTTGCATGTGCAGATTTGTGCATTGTGTCATATACATAAATTATGTCTCACATCTTGCACAATTAGTGACCATACTTAAGGAGGCAAAATAAAAGCACTGTTCTTTTACTTTGCTGGCCTCATTTCGTGTCCTTGCAAACTTCACGAATCCTATGCTTTGACCACATGCTTCTGTTCATGCATTTATTTTCAAGGTTTCTCTTGAAGGTCGATAGGAATAGTTTCAACGCTGCTTCAGCCTCTCCCGCGTGTAAACAAATCTCACTCGAGTCATTACTTAGCCGTTTCCAGTCATCTGACTAGTTTCCATACAGCAACACATCTTCAGACATTTTAAAAACATCTTTATAGTTCAGTTGGTAGAGCAATGAGGCTATGGGCTGGACAAAGACAGGGCCAGTTCAATTAAGCCTCTCAGCGAGAAGCTATTTCCCTAGAGGTACAGCGGCCGGGGCATGTTGCTAATCACTCACCTCTATCCAATGCTGAGGTTAAGAATGTGTGGAGCTACACCTCCACTCCATACATATCCATGATATGATGCTTAATTAAGTAGGGATAATTTTACCTTTTAGAGATCATATATTTATAAGGGGGGGGGGGGCTACAGATTTACACTGACAGCTGCGACGGTGTAGCGACAAGACTATGGGCTGGATGACCGGAAAGTTCGACTTCGATTCCGAGCAGGGGCAAGAAAATTTCCTCTTCTCCACAGCATTTGGATTGTTTCTAGGGCATATGCAGCCTCCTATACAAATGGGTACCGGGAACTTTAACCTCCGGGTAAAGTGGCCGAGGCGTGAAGCTGACCACTCATCTCCAACTAATGCCGAGCTTAAATATGTGCGAAGCTATACCTCCACTTCCCAACACGTCTTCATGGTGTGGTACTTAAATAAGCACAGAGACACCTTCCTCCTGATATGACTGGAACAGAACGAAGTGTTGTGTGTAAAGAATTACTTAGAAAAGACAGACATAACGAAACAGAGGCGGCAGAAACAGGAGGAGAGTTGAAGCGCGCCATAACACATCGCGTGTGGCGTTCCACGCATCCGTAATCTCGGCATAGCTTCACGCCCCGGCCGCTTTTTACTCTGGGATAGACCCTCGGTGTGCACTGGACAGAAGAATGCATGTTCCCCAGAGTTCGTCTGAACGCTGTGGAGAAGAGAAATATGTCTGCATGTGCCAGGAATCGACCCCGGTTCCCGGTTCTCCAATCACTGTGCTGACTGAATTATCCCGGATCCCCTCATTCTCTATAATTCGGGACATGCCCTCAGCTCCGAGAAGTTTAAGCAATGGTATACCGATGTGGAGGAAGAACCTAGTTGTGCCATGCACTGCCTAATTATTTGTATGTTAGTTTGCTCGTCGGTTATTCAACGGTACTTTATCAAAAGCAGAGGATGGTTATCTTGAAGGTGAAAGTAGAGGAATGACTACATATGAAGAAGTGGAATGGATCGGGCAAGAAACTGTCGTGATTTACTCTAAGGGTCTAACCCGACATTTCTGTGAGGCTGGTGCCTCCGTCGAGATACGAATATTTTCCGAGTAAAGATGCAGGATTTGTGTGGCTAATATGCTACGTAGATATGTAGGCCTATGCTTCTAAAACAACAGCCCCCCCCCCCAATTCCAACCTCTAACTACTGGTTGAGAAGAGTTCCACAGCGAACGCTCATTACGTGAAAAGCGTTGTCTTCTGCAATGTAACCCGTGCAGTCCTGTATAAATCCACTGACGTACTGCCTCCATTTTCAGAGTCGAAGAGAAAGTCAAGCAAGAAGCCATAAGCAGTGGTCAAGCAAAATTGAACTACACGGCGATATATCCGTGAAAGCGTAATTTTCACAATCAGCGCTGTGAGAACTTGACTTCCAACATCCATTACCTATTCACAATAGCCCGCCATTTCATCCTGTCCTAAGGCATTTACACGCAGTTCACTTATTTTAATAATATCCTCTCTCCTATAGAGCCGGGATAGCGCAGTCAGTATGGTCAGTATAGTGACTGGCTACGGACTGGACGACCGAGGGGTCGGAGATAAAAGTCCCGGTAGGATCAAGAATTTTCACTTCTCGTCCAGGCAGACTCTGAGGCCCACCCAGCCTCCTGTCGAATGTGTACTGTGGGCTATCTCTCCGGGGGTAAAGCTGTCGGGGCGTGAAGCTGACCACTGATATCCAGCTAGTGCCGAGGTCAAGAAAATGTGGATCTGCGTACACATTCACTCCCCATGCGCCTTCATGGTGTAGTGCTTAATTAGTTAAGCACAGGGATAATTTTACCTTTCTTACCTCTTACTTGTGCCTAGATCTCACAAGTGGTACAAATGCCGAACTAATGACAGGAACAGCGTCTGTTTCTAAGTAAATAATTACCGCACTCTCTGGCCTGTTATTAAACACTGATAATAAGAAGTAAATTTTCTTGAAATCATTTACTAGAAACCCCTTACGGCATGAAACTCGTATCGCATAACTAATTAGAGGTGCTGCAGAATACCTGTTTACAAAGCTGCAATGTGAACCTAAATATGTTGCACAACAATTGGGGCGTTTTAACTGGAACCTCTTGACAATTACGAGTACATCAGTTGTACACCTTGAATATACGACTGACTGTTTTAATGAAACAGGCTCTCGGAGTGCGGAAAGCTCATAGGGGGCGCTATCAGATGAGAAAGCAACGAATCTGGTTTCCCGTTTCACTCAAACTCCCAGCGTGTAAGTCACTGCTGGGAAATTGAGACCTGTAATGGTGTCTAAACTGGCATCTAAACGTCAACAAAAGACTTTTCTACGCGTGACAGAGACAGGAGAAGTGAGAAAATTACGTGCTGAAATCTTGCTACATGTACATATACTCCTGTACATGCAAAACTTCACGGCTTGTTGGCTAAACGCGCTTAGTCTATAGTTCATATGCACTGCATGTTTCGGCCATGGGGGGCCACAATCATGTACAAATGATTCGCTAATTTGTTATGCTGTGTTGTAACGCTTCAATTCGGTAAGACGTGAAAGTACGAAAGTTTTTTAAACCCAATTTTAATCTTTGTTAACATAATTTAAAATGCTGTATCACATGTTTCTTCATATATTCTTGTTTGTTGTGTTCCGTTTGTTGCTCTGTGTTGGCAGACGTGTGCGTTTCGTAGATGCGTGTTGGTTCTATGTACTGTGGCGGCTGGTGCATTCATTGGCCAGCACAGAATATAGGAAAACAGAGTATGCAACGTTTAACCAATAATCTATTAGTGCATTTACAAGGCTGTATTACATGCATATACATATTCCCAACTAATTCAATAGGATGGTCAAATACAATATTACGAAGGACTTCATACCCTCATATGCTCTGGGGGTCGATTTATTATTAACGGTTTATTTAACGATGTTATCAATAATTCAGACTACGTGTATATAGGTAAGATTTGACGTCGGTTAACACCACATATACACGGTGCCAAATCCCAGAAGACTGCTTTCTTCATACATGTACATAGGGTCAATGGTAAGATGAGTAAAGTATTGAAAAGGGTCTTCTCGTAGTTTCATTTGAAGTACTATCCCTACATTCTCCTGGGAGGACTGAAGAAAACACTGGCAATCTAGGTCAGTGTACCCAGTCTCCGGACCGAGACCTCCGGAATACGAAACAAGACGGGGGTACCCACCCAGTCAGACCAACTCGGTTTGTGAGGAACAGGAAACGCATTCTCATCAGAAAACATCTGCGTAAGAAACAATTTGGCAGACCTGTGTGTGTCTGTCGTGACAATATTAAGAGTGTTCGTCAGGGAAGTTATAATGAAGATATGAACTGCATCGAACAGACTCCTCATAAGGTCCCGTGTCTCGCTCCTGTGGAAATGGTCCAAAGTTCAAATTCCATCACAACAGGTCATTGTTAAACATGTCATTAACTAAAAACTGTTGAAGAAATATTCTGCAAGAGGTAAAATTGTCCTTATTTTTAATTAAACAGCACGCCATGAAGATGCACGGGAGTGGAGGTATGGCTCCATGCATTCTTCACTCGGCTGTAAATCATCAGATTCATGCCCTGTCACCTATATCGCCGCGGAAAGAGCACCAGTACCCACTGGATTTGAGTCTGGGTGGGTTCAGAGCGGGCTCAACGTGATGGTTAAGAGAAAAATTTCTGCTCCCGCTGGGAATGCAACCCAGGTTCTCTGGTCGTCCAGCCAGTTGCATATTCATTATACTGCTGTGCTCTGGAATTGTGGGTAGGAAGTCAAGGCTGTATAACCTAATACTTTTTTCTAAAGGCTTTCGCAATCTCTTCATTTCCTCTTGGATATTCCTAATCTGCCACAAACCACACCTGAGAACTTCCGGTGACCACGGGATTTCCTCACAGGATGGAGACGATTCAGAATGTCATAAATAAATAAAAACTGAAAAAGAAGTTGCGAGCTGTATAGATTCCTGGCCCCATATGCAAATCTATCAGTATTTTATTTTATTTCTGAGGCGAACATTACATGTACTTAATTACAGTTCCATTTAATGTTCAATTTGTCGGACATAGCCTCAAGCGTTTCCTTCACACTGGACCAAACCCCGCCACAACTCGATTTCCGTATCCCTTGTACTGCGGCCACTTCTGGCCTACTGTACCAGAACCAGATGATAGGTGAGGGTGATTGTGGAGCAGTTGGTGGAATGAAGATTGGCAGGGGAAACCGAAGTACTCTGAGAAAACCTGCCCCAGCGTCCACCACAAATCCCACTTGACCAGAGCCGGGATCGAACCCGGGCCGCCGCGGTGGGAAGCCAGCGACTAACCGCTTGAGCTATGGCGCTGCCTTGTGGTGGACAAAGTGGCGCTGGGGCGGGTTTTCTCCGAGTACTTCGGTTTCCCCTGCCAATCTTCATTCTACCAAATTCTCCAGCATCATAATCACCCAGGGCAGCTACAGTAGGCCAATCAGTGGCCGCTGTGCCGAGTGGACCCAGTTGGACTCCAGCCCCCACTAAACGAATTAGAACCAGAAGAGAGAGGAGTACGCGTCAGCCTTTATGAAGTGCATACGAGAAGTCGCCGAACTTACAGAACATCCGAGGCACCCGTGACAATTTGCAAAGTTCCGGAGCAAAAATGGACGTGAAATGGATGACACGGATGTACAAGCTTTTCGCTCTGCAGATTTCGTGTGTTTAATTCAATCCCAAGAATGAGATTGACCAGCAATTCTTTTACCCACGAATCACAACAGCGTTTCAAAAGAGCCGTCTAATACCCGCGTGCCACAGTTTGGCTATATCTGGTATGCAGGGATATATTGAAGAGTGTACGGTGGGTAGCAAATATGGCCGCTCAGGTCGTGGGTTCGAATTCCAATCTACGTCAGCTCCACTTTTGCGGTTGTATTAAACACGGGCAGTTGTCCCTGTGCTTAACTAATTAAGCAGTACACCATGAAGGCGTATGGGGGAGTGAAAGTATAGATCCACATTTTCTTGACCTCGGTACTAGATGGAGGTGAGTGGTCAGCTTTACGCACCGGCCGCTTTATCCCCGGGGAAAGAGCCCCCGGTACCCATTGGATAGGAGGTTGGGTGGGCCCCAGAGCCGGTCTGGACGGCGTAGGGAAGAGAAAATTCTTGACCCTACCGGGACTCGAACTCTGACTCCTCTGTCGTGCACCCCGTAGCCAGTCGGTATACCGACTAAGCTATCCAGGCCAAAGTGATTCTAAATTATTGTCGGGGTTTCCGTTTATGTCACGGAAGCCCCGACATTAATTTAAATGACCCTGATACACCGACCACAATGGCCTACCTGACAATACATAACCTCTAAATTTATATTGAATGGCAACTGCATGCTGAGATCATATTGCAACTTATCGTCCTAGTTTTATTACAAGAGTAACCACAAGACTGATTTAAGTTGAAACACGAACATCTTTCAGTTCCTAATCCACCAGGCAGGACCCAGGGCTGTCGTGGCTAAACTGTATGTAGGAGCCTCGCTCTGGCTTCGTAGTGTACCGAGCCTACGGAATCCACAAGTCTCACCGTGCATCCTACGCAGCATCATGGCAAAACTGCTCGAGAGCGGCAAGGCCACTTTATGGAGGCCTACGGGCATCAATCTACTACTACGCTGTCTCTCCACCCCCAACTCTGCGGTTCCCCTCAAGCCCTCTTAAGGCGCATCCACATTACTCGTGCTCGTGTGACTCACTATGCTCGCGAGTAATGTGGACGATATGACAAGTCACGAGACAAGCAAATTTTTAATTTAAAAACTATAGCCAATAAATTAAAATACGACTACAGCCTATACACACTACGAGTAAATATACGGATCCTCACGCGCCGAAGCCTGGCGAGCAACTGCAGTAGTGTGGACGAAGATTTACGAGCACAAGTAAAAGCCGGACGAGTCTCCCGACAAGTACAAGCCTGGCGAGCACGAGTAATGTGGACGAGCCTTTAGAAAGTACAGTAGTGAAAGTATGTGCGGAAGGGATGATGTAGCTTAGAGCCCTGAACGATTTCGGTTTCGTGTTCAAATGGGACGTTGTACATAAACGTAGATTAACTTAAACTCCGCTCTATTGGACAGAAACAGGAAATAAATTTGCATCCGAAATGTTGGAACGTACACTGTAAGCAACTGACAGCTTCAAAAGAAGGCAGTCTGTCAAAATACTTTGAAAATTAGCGACTGTTGACTGTTCGTCATGAATGATTAATTTATGAACCCACAACACAAAGAAGTCGTTTTTAGTCATACGCGGAAGAAAAATAGAAACGAGACAGAAACTAAACTGCGGACACTGCATTGTTCAATATAAGACCACCGAAGAACAGGTCAATAAGTTGACGATAACGTGTCTGCCAAACCGTGAATGCGGCCAGAATAAAAATACGCCAAACAGTCGTCGCTGCCTGCATCTCGTTTGCTTGCATGCTCTGCGCAGCCATTCGGAAAGACAGCGGCAACTACGCGCAAAATTCGGCACTCACTGTAATTTGGATCTGAGGAGAATTTGTAGAAGTGAGATACTAGCGCACTTCGCTTTACGGTGCTGCTATGCCTAATTAATCTCCAAGCCCTGAAGAAGTAGTGAAGAGTGGACGCATTCTTGATCTATGCACTAAATGGATGTGAATGGTCAGCTTCGCGCCTCTACGGCTTTGCCCCCGCCGAAAGAGGCCCCTATATCCAGTGGCTAGGAGCCCGGGCGCTCCCAGAGCCTGTCTGCCCCGTGCAACGAAGTGAAAAACCTCTTGTCCTTGCCGGGAATTGAACCCGAACTCGTCTGCCATCCACATAATGCAGACCGTGCCTTTATCGCTATACCAACTGAGCTACACCGGCTCCCTCATATTTGTCTTAAACGTGTAGAATTACTCAGCGATATTTGAACAGTGTTTGGATTATAAGAATTACAGTTGTTCACAATGGAGAAACACTGGAACTTTAGACAATAACCAGCATCACACCGCACAGGAACAGAACATGACACCAGTACTTACCTACGCCGTCCGCTCCAACGCAGCACAGCGCACGTACTGGAGTACTGGAAGTACTGGAAGCTGTTGAGCGAGTCTAATTATTGCCCACTGAGTTCAACGGAGGATCACCTTGTGACGTCATGTACTAGTGTGTTTGCCTGCGGGAACTGGCAATTAGAAGCATCATTCGTACATATATACATATATCGGAGAGTGTGGACGACGAGGACTGGAGGGCGAAGAGAGTGTGCATTGACCTTCCAGAACCAGCTACCTTAAGACATACGTGTACTTCCGTGGACGCATTTCCGTCCATCTATTTCGTTAGCTAATTTTAGAGATTCGTCACAGTGTGTAAGCTTACCGCTCCTTACCTCAGCTGCATGACACTCATGCTTACATAATTTAATTTATCCTGTTCCGCTCGTTGGGAAACCCCCAACAATTCTGTACACAGTGCTGAAGCGGTTGGGCCTTCGGAACCCTCAAACGTAGGCAGTCCCCGGTCTTAGGAGTTCTTGAGTTTGCAAAAATAAATTCCGTGACGCCAATCAATACTGCCCATATACGCATTGTTATAGTCGGGAATTGCGTTACCGAACGACCGAGAGAAAAAATATATAGCGACTGTTATTCCGTGAACCAACACGTAGAAGAAAATAATAATACATTGGGGTCATGCGGTAGCGTAGTTGCTTCACGCACTATGCTACCGGCAGGAAGGTCGCTGGTTCAAGTCCCGATGAGGTCGTTGGATATTTTTCAATTGACCTAACCCTTCCAGCCGCACTATGGCCCTGGGGTCGACTCAGTCTCTAACAGAAATGAGTACCAGGAATATTCCTGGGGGGTAAAGCGCGGCCGGCGCGTAAGGCTGACAACCTTACCGCCATCTGTGAGCCGATTGTCTAGATAGTGTGGGAGCCTCAACGTCTCACAACCCTATGGACCTTCACGGCCTGGTACAGGGATACCTTTACTTTTATATAATAATATACTAGCTTATGGAACAGTCACTGTAGACACTATTATGCAACAAAATGTCAATATAAATCGTCAAATTTACTTTTAAGAGGAGCAAAAGCTTATGCAAAATCAAAACAGAGGTCCTTTGTGCAAAATGGCAGTCAACTTAATTACTTAAACCATCATAAGAACAACTCGCAAAAGACATCACAGCGATAGGAAACAGTGACGTCATGCCTCAAGGTATCTGCCGTTTTCGAAATCGCTGTTGAGGAGAGACTGACTAACGGTACCCTTCGCGTCTGGCATATGACCTATTCCGAGAAAAAATATACCAGGATATTTGTTCGGAAAATCAGTTCACACCTCACACTTGTGTGGCGAAAACCGTGACTAGCAACTTGAGACTGGGTTCCAGGCTCTCTTCAACATAAAAAGCCATCGCTTTGACCGAGAAGACCTAGTGATGTACAAATATTAATAAAATCGTTAAAACTATGACGACATTCCATAAGAATGATCCGGGCACCAATATAAGGGGCCTACTTGTTCGTTTCGTTCATTTATTTGTTCATCAGCGTCATTAGCAGCAGGCCAAGGTGCGCGTCCGTCCGTCACTGGCTTTCATAGTGCTATATGCACACGCTTATATTGTCCAATTATGCAAGCGGCCAGCAGTCTTAGAAACGCAGATGTTCGCATCAGAGGAAAAGGGGAAACTACCGTTATGAGTCTAAGGTCAGACAGAGCCTGCTTTACAGAGACCGGACTGACCGAAATCATGCACACACTATGCAATGGAACATTATAAATATTACAATGTTCATCGTGTTTTGAAACAGTCACTGTCTGAATGTTGGTAGCCAATTAATATCTTGAGGAAAGCAGTCTTGTGGGATGCGGCACCGTGTAGATGTGGTGTTAACCGACGTTTCGGAGGAACGTATTGCCTCCATCTTCAGGGTAGAAGGGAAAATAAGAAAATCCGCAAGCGAAGAGACAGTGAAAACAGGCACAAGTAGTATTTTTCCTTTATTTTTTCCGACGGAATGAGAACAACACACTTAAATCGGGACGGCTGTTGTTGAAGTTTCTAGTGAGGCGCGCACGAGTCAAACCGCGCCGTTCCTCGCGTGGTCTCGAAACAATATACGAGTATATTTCACAAAAACTGAGGTTTTTGAAAAAGAGCACGCCTTCCTCTCGTCAGAGAGGACGCTCCACAATGACTACATACTAAGTAACTATTAGCCTCCAAGACATTACAGTGAAGGGGATCCGACAACAAAACTGACTACTGTTCGTTCTAATGCCGCCGTGAATGCGATATAAACTTGGAACTTTCAAATCTGACCCCAAGAGGAGCTAGAAATTAATACTGACAGGGTCAAACATTAACTCCACTTAACAGGCACAGGAATAGCTTCCACATGACTACAGCACTTTCAGTTTTCGGTACCATGACGCGCGAAAATAATAAAAATCAACGAAATTTAATATGTGACTTAGTTTTACTTCAATGCTTCAATTCAAATGGAAGCACCATCTAGGCTACATATAAACCCGAAAGAGACAATTTAGTGGTCTAGATCTATTCTAAATTGCATCGGTTTTTATGAAGTTCTTACGCATACAAATTCAATTTCAATAAACTGCTACAGATCATTCGCTGTGCTAATCCGAAAGGAATAGAACACACACCTTGCCTTTGGAATGCAACACGCTGGGAGCTACATCGTGCAGAAGACCTACTCAACACAGCAGCCGTGTTTTTAAACTCTCTACTGCCGTGACCTTAAACTGGACAGCACAGATTTCCAAGCCCTCAGGCTAAATCGGCATTAAAAGGGAGTAAGTATCACGAAGATTGCTAGGATGTGACATCGTGTATTCTGGTAGATCATTAATATTTTGAAGAACCTGCTGCTTGTATCTTCAGGATAAAATAATGCATGAACCATGGAGGAAAGTAATACGGTTAGACTATAGGGAGAGGGTGAACAAGGACCTTGAGCAGATGTCACAGTGGTCACAGCGTCGAGTCCCAGAAGACAGCAGTCAACATGAGAATCTAAACTCTCACACGATATAACATCACATATCTCGACCCCACTACGTAATTCCACAGCACCAAGTAAGCGGAAAGCTAAACATCGCCTCCGTCGTGACACAAAGGTCTCTGTCAAGAAACTGAATTTGGATACAGTTTAAATTTCGATTTCAGTTGTTTGATGCGCTGCAGTCGCAAGTCACGGTCCAGTGCAAACGAACAACCCTTGATGTCCCTTCGGTAAGGACGCGCAGCGAGCTCGCGTGTGGTGGTCCATGGTCGATTAATCACAGCAAATACGCGTATTCGTAGGACAAGTTCAGCGAGTGCCGAGATCCTACGTCAGTTCTCTGAAAACCGACATTGTGCCTTGGTTTCATGGAAATTGCTGCAACAATAACTCAGTGGAAGCAAGGTTAAATGCGTCATTTTGCTCATGGACAATGATCACCGTATATTTGCATTACTACCACTGTTCGCAGTGGTATTGTGTGATGACATTGGCCTGTTTCTGCCACTAATTCTAACTCGGTTTGTCAATAGCGTGGAATCCTGTAGAGATTTCTGCTTAATTTTATTGGACCATTTGACCCAGCTTTTAATAAACGATAAACGGCTTTTGAGGCGAATTCTGTTTTCTTTGTAGTCCTCCAGCAGTACACATCAGTTCACACATACACACTCACTGCTAATGATTCATGAAACATCCGGTGGTACATAAAGGGGCTCCCGGCAGTGTCGTTAAGTTAGTAAGTCTGCCAGGTCTCACAGGCTCGCCTCATGTAACATGCACGTAAGACTGTAGTGGAGACCCATAATGCGCGCATTCAACTTTGGAGAATGCAAACACATGCTCTAGCAAAAAAATATAAATAAAAAATAAACGAATACATAAATAAGTGAAATAAAATAGCGCTGACAATTCCGCGCTATGCCGTCGACCGACATCAAGCCCTGACTGTCCCCAAGTAGTTTTGTTGGGGGAACAGGACAACCATCATCAGAACATACAGGATGAATGATCAGTTTTCAAGATTATTCTTTTCCTTTTCTATCTTTCCATTCTGCCATCTCTCTCTCTCTCTCTATTCGTTATGTAATTAGAAATTAAATTACAGTGCATTTTACTTGCATATGTGCTCTTGGTTACATACATTGTTACATATATATTGTAAGGTGTATGCAAATCATTAAGATGCGACTCCACTACGAAGAATTTAAACTTTGTCAGTAAAGGATCAAAATTGTCATGTAATTACATAATCATCCCCAGGACCTCACTATCTAGCGTGTTAACTGAAGAGAGTTCACTTCACTTATGGAACTCGCCAACCGTACATTAATAAGAACAATTTCTACTAAAAATATTCCGTGGCCTGTAGTCCGCAAGTGAACTTATACCGACCGAGCGACCGCCGCTTGTCGGCGAAGTTAGTGCCAACTTTAGCGGACAGAGGGTGTCGCGTGGTCAGCGCAACGAATCCCCACGGCCGTTAATCTCGGTTTTCTAGACCGGAGCAACTACTTTCCCCTTCAAGTAGCTCCTCAATTATCACGAGGCTGAGTGGACCCCGTTCCAGACCCACTATTTTCCAGAAAATCTGCTAGCGCCGGGAATCGAACCCGGGACCTCTATATCTGTAGCCAGGAACTCTGACCATTAGACCATAGACGAGGTCAAATTCTACTAAATCGTATCATAAATGGCCTCTTATAAATTCTAGTCTTTCTCCTAGTACGAAAAAAAATATTAAAAAATCTCGAAATTTATGAACGTCATTCTATTAGAAAGAGAATTACGTTTGGTGGAACCGAAGTACAAACCAAATTTTACTTAGGATTCTGTTGGGGAAGGAGCTGAAATCGCGTTGACTGCCTTTAGAAATAAATATGAACACGAAAGTGCCAAAATAAAGAAAAGAAGTTCATTGGGTTAAAACAACCCAGGACAGTATTTTTAAAATGTTTCTAACTTCGTCAATAATCCTCTCATTCGGAGCCAAATGCTGAGAAAGCACCGCTGACAAATCCGCGAAACAAATGTGTTTACATACCGTGAAGTTACTACATCAAAATCGATAACTCAAATCAGGAAATGCTGCGGGGAAACTACGTAAATTCCTTTTGCTGCTT